CTTCGGCCAGCCCGCGCTCACGGCACGGTTTTCCCTCGGGCAGCCTCCACGCTTCGGCTGCTGATCAAACCACCGGAGAGGGAAATGCAAAACCTCCCTTCCACATCCTCCTGTTACTGCCCTGATGTTATACGAAGGGGAGGACGCTTGCTTGGCACGACCGATAGCTCCACGGCTCCTCACCTTTAGTCGCAATGTATGCACCACCCCTAAGAGATTCAGGACGAGTAACCAGGCTTAAGGCCTTCTCAGCAGTTTAAGACACCAGACTTCGGATACAAACACTCATCTTCGGCCACGATAGGGCTCCAAAATGTGAGCCCTCCCTCCTCCCAGACGCCAGCGCTGGGGCCGGCCCCAAGAGCAGCCCCCAAAAGCGGGAGCGGGGACCCCCACGCGTGCCCAGGGCTGACGCCAGGCAGGAGCCTTGCCGAGGACGGCGATCCTTCAAGCGCACAGCGCTCAGCTGCAAAGCCCGGGCGCGACGGCTCCGGGCCGCGGCGAGGCCCCGGGCGCAGACAGCTCGCGCTGGGATGGGATGGAAACACTGGTGGTTTCAGTTCAGCCACTGAAGTGCTTTCAGAAAGGAAGAAGCACTCGGGGCCATGAAGAGGCAAGTGTCGGGACTCCCTAAACGACGAGTGAGCAACCCAGGCGCCCGCAGCACCCAGGGCAGCAGCACACCCGGGTGCCGAGCGTCCAGGACTCCTTTCTCGCGCTCCTGCACCTCGGGGCCAGGCTGGGGGTTCGTCACAGCCCTGCCACCCAAGGTCGGCGCCTGTCTGAGGACCCCGAGCATCCCCGGGGCTGAGCAGCATGTTTCTGCTCGCAGCAAATGCCAGTTTAGCCAAGGGAGGGGAAGGGCGAGAGCGTCAGAGCTCGCCACCAAACGTGAGATGGCAGGAAACCACAGGTCTGTTCAGATTGGAGCCTTCTGGCTCAAAACCTGTAAACAGGGACAAGGAGCTTAGCATAGATACTCCTCCACACATCCTGTTCTATATGATTTAGCACTACTTTATCCATCTTCAGCTAACGTAAGCAAATGCATTTAGGTTTCCCCTTAGCTAAGTACGCACTTAGGCCAGTTACGCATTTAGCAGGTCTTTCCCGGGCAAAGCGGTCATGTGCAGCGTTTTGCAAAGCAGATGCCTGTCCCAGCTGACAATTCGGCCTGCTCGTCATTCAGATCCACTCAGCAGGCAGCAACGCTCATGCAACTCGCAGGCCTGTTTGCAACATCGCATAATAGCGGGCTCAGAAGGGTTTCCAGCCCGAAACCACAAGCAGCTTTGCTTTCTAGTTACCGAGAGCCATATCTGTAAATAAGTCCCATGAGGCCACTTTCTGAATGCACTTCTCCAAGTCCCAGCCCAGCACCAAACTTTTATAGCAATGGAGTCGGGCTCGGGAGTCCTCGGTGAAGCCCCAGTGCTGCCGTCCAGCGCT